GGGGTACGTGCGGTGGGATCGTTGTTTATTTTTCGCTGTGTCGTACGGCCAGTGCGCAATGCTCAAAGTCGCTGCACTTGTATACGAACAAACGGCAGATATATTTTTTTTCGCAACCAAAATTTATAGCGTAGCGGTAGCGTAGCGGCGCGATTTAAGCGTAGCGCTTATTTCCGAAAGCGTAGCGGGTGCTAGCGCTATTTGATGCCTGGCTAGAACACTGATGACCACATATGTTTATGTTTAAGTGGTTACAGTGGTAACATCCTAACAAGGAGTTGTAACTGCACATAGGGTAACTGTTATCGGACACAAAATACCAGTACTTGAAGAAAATGTAGCCCTTGAAAATGACGGATAACTTTCCCCACTTAATTAGAGGGGAATCTAGTCAGCAGCTGATGGTCATATATTTCAAGGTAGAAGTCAATCGATCCCTTGCGTGCATGTACCGGTATGTGTGGAAACTCTGTATTAATGAGTTGTGCTTGATGAAACAATGCCATATCATGTCGCTGATTTATTGAATGCAGAAAGTGCAGGGAGACCTTGGATAGATTTCTGCTTGTTGATCTGTGCGTGTATGCGTGTTTGTTGGTGCGAGTTGTGAAAAGTGGGCGTGGATTGTGTAGGAACGTGGAAAGTGGCTAACTCTATCAACCATTATGTGTTTGATGAACATGTACATGTATGTATGAGGTGTGATGACCATTGATGGTTTAAAGATGTATTCCCCGTGCTGTTTTGAGTTTCACGACGAAATTTTATTTCTATTTTTCTAGCAATATGTTATTCACTTTTGACTAAGACATTGAATAAAAAAATATCCACAGACGTTTTGTTGTTGAATTATTTCTTTACAAAAATAGAATTTTTTTCGCATTTGCGTCCTGACGGTGATTAAGCTCACGCAGGGCGGATTCATTTGTGTGCTGTCATTTTCAAGAAAAGTGGAATTTTTGTTCCAGTTTTCAACGATGGTCAGCGGAACATTGTTGGAAAAAACACTGACTTGTTTCAAATGCTGTCCCAATTTACCAAATTTAGTTCAAATTTTGTGTACAGTCGGTTGACATCCGTGAACGTGTGCCAAGTCTGGGACCCCTGACCTGACAATTCCCCGACGTCCATGAATTGCTATGTTTCTTCTGAACTAGGGTCGGGGAACCAGACTACAAGAACAGCATTTTGTTCTTGGTTTTTTTTCAGCATCTATTAACACAAAACTTTAAGTAGGTCAGTGTAACAACATTTGCTATAAAATACTAACCCCCAAATCCATCCTGAAAATTACAGCAAAAGCCAAGGTTGTATTACCTTTAACGATTGCGGCACAATTTAATGGCCCCCTTTTCAGTTCGAAACTGGCTGGAGCATTGTATGCACAGTTGCCCCTTCGAGGGCAATCCACTCACCGCAGCAATTTTGTGGATGAAATTGATGACAAATGACTTGAAGATCCCATTTTATTATATTTTTTTGGGTCCCCCCAGCCTCATCATTTTCAGCCCTCTCTCTCTTCAGAGAGGTCTCCAGCACGCTTGTAAAATGATAAGGGATTGGATGATGAACCTCGGGGCCCCCAGGTCTGTTAGACAGACAGGCTGCCCCAGGAAGAGGAACAAGCTGTTAAAACCATCGGGCTGTCTAGTCAGGCAATCCTAGTCAGAGAAAAACATAATGGGGGGGGGGGGGAGGGAAAAGAAAGGAAAGGAAATATAGAAGAAAAAAAGAAGTAAAAAAATATATAAAAATTCACAAAAACTCACAAAAATTCACAATTAGGTTGTAACGAGTGAACAGTGGTTTTAAATTATAAAAAGAAAAAGAAAAAGAAAGAAAAAAGAAGAAGAAATTAAAAATTGAACAAAAATTAAGGTTGTTACAATTTATTGATATATGGATTTTTAAGGGGGGGGGGGGTTGAACAAGTGAATGAATAGTTACATGTAGTGGAGATGTATACATGTGTTGACATTTCGAATCTCAAGGGTCAGCGCTTCAGCACCAGTTCCCGATCAATTTTGTAGTGATGTTTGTTTGTAGGAGGCACCTAATTTTACATGCTGTGTGGAAATCAGAAAGTGGCACTGAGTTTTGTTTGCATGGTTTCATAATTAAGAAGTGCATACGTGTACACTTGTACATGTTCTACATAAACCCCGAGGACCGACACACTAAGGGAGAACAACAGATCCTTTCAGTCCTCGGGAGTTGGGTCTGTTGTTGGAAACGGTCCTCTGTATTAAATTTGTGTGCTTAGTCTATGGGAGAGTGTTATATAACAGGGACAATGGGCAACACAAAGCATTGTCCTCGAGAGTAGAGTAAAACAAGAGTGTATGCTATAACCGGTACATTTGTTGTCTCAAGCGAAGAATTTCGGTCCTTAGGTAACCCCTTTAACAATTAATAATGAAAGTGCAACTGAAAGTTTTAGTTTATTTCTGTCCCTACTTTCTGCCATAGGTTTTTAGTATTGCATGCACTTTTAATATTAGTCTTGGGTCCAAGACCTTCCTGTTGTTTATTCCTCGATCACATCAATCGCGGACCGTGCGTCAACGTACGTCCGATCACTCTCACAAACGATCGCTGATAGAGGGCGCTATCTCGACACGAACCGCTATCATCCACGAACCGCTATCACAGGAAGGTCTTGGATATCTCGTTCGGCGGTGCTTATGTATTTCATAGTTTTTCCCCCGACTTTCCGGGGGAGCCAATGAACGATCAAGTTGGAAAGTGGTATGAATTATTCATGATCGTCGATGTACTAGTATATTTACGTGTATATTTTAATATCTGAAAGAGTGTTCTACCCATATCTACACGTACATGTATGTGCCTAGTAGTACAAAGTAGATCTACAGGTTCTCGTGTATTGTAGAAAATCGCAGGGAAAAATCCAGGACTCATTTCTAGTTTTATCATAAAAAACAATCCTCGTTCAACTCTTAAGCTCTTGTTATTCCCAAACATCCATAACCAAATCTCTCGCACCAAAATTACTTCGATCCACTGCCCTGGGAAAAAAATAAACCTATTAGTTACCAACAGCACGTGTATATACATGTATGTTACATTCGTCATTAGCACATGTGCACGTCATTTTGTTCAGCATTCCAGGGATTAATAAACACGGCGCCCATGCACGTGCAGCTCATGTTCTTTGTTTTAAAACCAGATGGTCTCATTATTAACACGAACAGATGATGTCGCATAATGAACATTGTCCGCCACCTCCGAGTTCTCTGTAATGTGTACTGTTCACTTGAGCATCGCTCGGTAGTCCGAATCGAAATCTGTGTTTTCGACAGAAACACCCCCCCCCTACTCCTGCCAGTGTGGCAACATTTTATTAATTACTTTACCAGGAGTGCAGTTTATAGACTTAGACTTTTTAATTAGTTGGTTCATTTGCCGCACACCCACTCTCTCTCTCTCTCTCTCGGTTTTTGCCATATTGTGAGAAATGTCGCGCCTGGAGTGCACACCTCTCGTGCCAGAGTCCGGAGTTCATTGTGCGCTGAGATTGCACATTTTTCGAAAGTGTTTTCCTTTTTTTCCCCCCTCATACATGTGGTTGTTGAGGTGTATCAAAGAGCCTCCAGATTGTCATTAATTTTTATCAATTTATGGCAGCTTGTTAGGGGGATTGAGTAGGGGTTGGACGGGGAGTTGGGGTGGGGGATGGGAAAGGCTTGTTGAGGTCAGCACCTCACCCCAACCTTGATGCGCATGAATAGTTGATCAGTTTATAAGGAATCACAAGAAAGAATTCCCCCCTTCCCCGCTTTCCTGGCGAGCAGTCTTGTAATGCAGTACTTTATGTTGCTTAACTCTAACTCCCTAGCGTCTTTTACTAGGAACTGGACCAAGTCCATCAAATGCCATCAATCACTGTGCGTCCAATACAAAACTGTACATGACATAATGGAATCCACCACTGACGCACTGGTTGACATTCATGGACTTGCTACACATGGCTTGAACACAATAGCAGTACAGTAAGCTAGGCAAAATCAATCGGATACCCCTAGCACTGCTTCAGGCCATAAGGCCCAAGTCCATCATACTCCACCAATATTTAGTCACGCCAGGCCTCCTGGACCAAGTCCCCCCAAATCCACCAAAATGGGGGGTGGAGGGGGGTGGATTTTGATGGAGTTGGGTTGGTTAGGGTTAACAGAAATTCCATAAAGGTACATGTAGTCATAAGTACAATACATTTCTAGAGATATTGTCAGATAGAAAATATCACACGAGGACTCAATAAAGGTATTGTGGATAGAACAAGAAGTTATCCTGCACTACTAACCCTTACCCTTAGTAGTTCCCCAGGACTACCCTGCTCAATCCAACAGAGTCCTACGGTTACTCATATGCATTTCCTGCTCAACCCAACACAGTCCCACACAATCCAACTTGCCAAGTTGTTGGGCACCCGATAACATAAAATGACTGGCATGCTCAATCCAACAGAATTCAACTGTGCCTTATTTTTCTGTTTCCTGCTGGATCCAACAGAGACCAACTTGGCGTTATTTTCCAGTTCCCAACAGAATCTGACTCTGATTAGTAAATACACAGGAATTTAGGACTGTGTGTATTACAATGACTGCATGGCATTCTCACCCGAATAAGTTCCAGAGTTAATGTACGATGGTTGCCATGTTGAGCTGTATGGTACAGAGCAGTGAGGCTGACCTGCGTGCAGTGGTCTGCATATAAAAGAAGCTGTGGAAATAAAAGGAAAAACGTACACATACATCCCAGTGTCACTTGCCCCCGTGCTTCACTTGCCTTTCAGCCTTTTTTAACACAAGATCTAATTATGTCAACAACGGCCCCTCGACTCTTGTTTGCCTATTCCCCCTCTCCACCTGTACTAATAAAATACAAGCTGCACTTCGATGTGCCTTGATTGGCTGAAAAACCCAGGTAGTGCAGTAACAAGAGTGCAGTCCTTCATGTATTTAACCTTGCTTTTTACTTTTATCTTTCGTCACTTTGCAGGCCCCATTTGTTACACCGGGAGACTGGCCCTATAAGAACCGAGTGGACAACAAGGTAAGAAAATATTCATTGATGGTCATTAACCAAGACCGACCCCCCCCCCCCCCACAGATCCCTTCAAAATCCATTGAGTTTTGGAAAATTTTGTAGGATTGAGGAAGGTACTGGTAGAGCCCAGCCTCTATTACTTTACATGGGGCTTGATTCACCTTGAAACTTGGAAGGTACATGTACAAAGAGTGTGCCATTGGTGTCATACACAGTGAAGGATTTTGTAGGATTGAGGAAGGTACCGGTAGAGGCCCAGCCTCTATTACTTCACATGGGGCTTGATTCACCTTGAAACTTGGTAGGTACAAAGAGTGTGCCATTGGTGTCATACACAGGGGAGGATTTTGTAGGATTGAGGAAGGTAGAGCCCAGCCTCTATTACTTCACATGGGGCTTGATTCACCTTGAAACTTGGTACCTAGGTACAAAGAGTGTGCCATTGAGTTCCTGCACCGTGGAGGATTTTGTAGGATTGAATGAGGCATTAGGCAGAGCCCAGCTATCGCTGCTTTCCATGGGACTTGATGCCCAATTGCAAATTGAAGTGCAGAGAATGGGGTTTTGGGTCTCTCTGCACATTGATGGATTTTGGAAGATTTGGGAAAATGTGTTGTAACTTGGTCCTTGCTATGCCAACTTTGTTCTGTGTCATTTGTAGAGTTACTTTTTTTGTTTTAACTCGAACTACTTGTAACCAGGGTCCATCAAATTCTTCAAGCAGGTTTTGCAGGATTTTGATAGATTTTGATTGATAGAAGTACAAAAATGAGGAATGCATTAGAGAATATTACTGCACATTGTGGGATTAAGGCTGATTTGGGGAAGCTTCTCAGGCAAAGATTTAATAGGATTAATGTCCCAAGTCGATGTTTTGCAATCAACTTTCCAATTTTGCTGCGATCCTGTTCCATGCCATCACATCCTCAGAGTACATAACTAGATTTGCTAGTTCTTGCGCCTGTTTGGTGATAGTGCTCTGTAATTAGACTAGTGCGCTGTACTCAGATGCAATGACCGCGCTAAATAATGAAACCCGGGCAGCCCACACATTCAACCACTGTGGTTCCGTCAAAAAAGGTTGGACTACTCGGGTCCAAACCACCAGCGTGTGGCACCTTTCATTGCCTGGTGGAGGGCTGAGCATCCATCATCCTGTCGACCCTAGTCTTGCATCTCTTACTCTCCATATTGTACCCTCATCCTTCCCTTCTTTGTATAATTCATGACGTTAATCCTGCCATCGCCTCCAAGTCATCCTGCGCCTCGTCCATCTCGTTTTATTAAATCCTCCCGGTGGTAAGGGACCCCCACTCCAGACTTGAAAAATTGCCTGTCTTTTTTTTTGTGTGGATACAACCTCTTGTCTGCTTTTTGATTACTTTAAGAACTCCATTCCATGGTAATCCAAAGCGATTAATAATGAATTATGAGTTCGGTGCCCTCGACTGGGAAAGGGGGGGGGGCCTAGCTAGCGAACTGTGGCGGTGGTTTGGGGGATATTAAGCGAGCTATGGTGGTTGCTTGGGAAAGTGTACTAGTGCAGAAATATTTTCCCTACTAGGCCCCTGGGCCTGGCGCATGGTATTTTACGAGCCTGTATTTTATTTTCAAGGTTTTTCAAGTCCTGAACTTGCATAGAAGCACAGGCAGATTCCTTTTATTTTGACTAACCTGCTCCAGGGGCAGCATTTAAAAAGTAATTTCAATTTACTACAAAAGTGTTTACCAGGCCTTTAGAATATACAACCCTGGGCCCAATTACATTGCTGTTCCAACCATGGAATTCTGCACTTCAGTGTTTCAGTGCTTTTCGTTGGGAACGCAGGAACTCTTTGCATGAAGTGTCTTGCTGGCCAGTGAAATGCATGTATACATGTACATGTACAATTGTTGATGGCACAATTGCTGCTATAGTTAGCAAAGTCTCTTTGTTTTCGGTAAAAATTGAAGAATAAAATTTGACCCATATCATGCCGAGTAATGGGTTGCCAAAAAAAAATAATAATAATCAAAATGTTACACCTAAGCTTTATGTACAATTTAAGGGGATCTCCGTTTTACAAGCTCTGTTTTTCTTTGGAGACCTCACCTCCTCCACTTGTTTAATCAAAGTTTGATAATGACATGTACCCGATACATGTTCTGTTATTTCCAATGAAGTGAATAAGTGGAAAATAAATGAACTGAACTGAACTGAACAATGTTTGTATGCTGCTTCTAACTTCTAACAAAAATAAGAGATATATTTAGCTCAGTTAAACTAAATAAAAGTAAAAACAAATGCCATTTTTTTCCCCTGCTTGACGTTTACAGGCTGCTGTACTCCATGAAACATGGCCTTGGTGCCCTTTTAGTAGGCTTACTTTGTCTGACTCGCAACAGTTTGCGCGATGGCATATGTTCGCGGAGTTGCCATAAAAACAAAACAAAGGCTTACATGTAGTAGAGAGGATATTGAACTTCAATGCGTTAGTTTGTTTCTGCAATATGCAATTAACAAAAAAAAAACCCACATGCATTCACCAATCAGCATGCTCGTTTAAATTGCCATACGGTACATGTGCATACAGTGGAAGGTTTGATTGTTCAGTGCGCCCTGACCGTTAAAATTGACTCCACGTTAAAAGCGGTGAAGGTTAATGGCAAATTAATATGAATCAACATTGGCTACCGGTACCGTTAAGTACTTGTATGAATGTTGGGCTCCAGAAAAGCCGTGAATAAACTGATTACACACGGATGAGTGCACTGCCAAGGCTATGGCCACAGTTTTTTGCCCTGAAACAAGGCTGAGGTTATTGTTATGAATCTTCGTTTCTGGTAATGAAACCAAGGATTGCTAAAAAAATTCCCTACTGGCACTGTAGCTCGCAAGCCTGAAGAAACCCGTCAGAGAGAAGACAATGAGAAGAATTTACAGTTTTAGAGGTGGGAGGAAAACACCTAGAAGAATATTCTGGGAGAAACCCAAGGAATCAGGTAGGGACTGAAAACCCAATCCACATGTTGGCCCAGGCGGGATTCGAACCCGGGTCACTGCGTTTTTCAGCTGAAGTCTTGCACACATTTTTGACGACTTGTTGATTTTACGTGTAAATAAAATTATGATGCACTGATGTCATAATGTACTACGTGTAGCAAATTTAAGAATGTTGGGTGGTGAAACTTTTTTTATTGAATATGTATGGGGAAAAAAGTTGATACATGTATACCTGAACTGCATTGTGAATCATTACCCATGACAATTACAACAATCAAAATTTAAACTTTGGAGATGTACTGGGCACAGATGTGTTTTCGTCATGCTTACTGAATTTCTCATTAGGTTTGCGAAAAGTTCAACACACAACAAAACAAATTTTCTGGCTATGTTACATACCACGTGTACGTGCGAACATGTAGGTTACTGCAAAAACTACGATACACGTACATTTTGTAAATGAAAACCCTAACTTCCTGCTCACATGTAGTTTCACTAAGTAGAAGACCATGTCCATCAAAATCCATCACTCATTCTGCTTCGCATAATGCTTCTGGACCAAATCCATTGAAATCCACCACTGGTGCTGGTGGATTTTGATGGATGTACCTGGTAGGACACATGGCTTATCTGCCAAAATCCCCCAAAATGGGGGGATGGATTTTGATAGAATTGGTAAGGTTAGTGTGAATTAATGGAAATTTCTGTGGGATATGATAAAAGTTAGCGGACGAAAAGTACATTGTAATTTAATAGTATTTTTTGGCGGGGTCGGGGGAAGAAAGCTTCAAAAATCTAGATCAGTGACCCAAAAGGGCAATGCTGTCTCTTTAAGCCCTTCAAAACTACCTCGTTACATAAGCCGACCCTGTTTTTTCTTTTCCTGTTACTCACGTCATTTTACCAACAAGGGTATATGGCACTTCCATGACACTCCGTAACAGCTGAGTCCGTCCGTTAATCATTCATTACTGAAGTATGCCTGCGGTGAATCTAAATGCCGAGCGTCCGTTCCGTTCTTTGGCCGTCGAGTATGGTCTTGTTACCCGATCTACCGGTACATGTATGTGCACGCAGCCCCAACTGCCTGGGGAAAACACATTGGCTTGGCACGACATGCCTGCACCGAGCCCTTGGGTGCCAATTTCACAACTTGGGCAAATTTTTGTGATTTGTGCAAAAAGGGGCCTTTTACTGGGGGAAAAAGCAACAAATTCATCTGCTGTACATTGACATTGTGGACAGCCAGTATATGTATCATGTATGTCAAGCAAAACTTTGCTTTAGTTGAAGGTATAAACAATCGGTGATACAGTTATAAAATTTACTTGCGACATTTGCATTAGCTGTAATTTTCAGAAATGGATGGATTTGGGGTTTGTATTTTACAGTGCATAGTAAATAATGTAACACTGACTTGTTTGAAGTTTTGTGTTCATGAGATGCTAGAAAACCCAAGAAACAAAATGCTGTTCTTGTAGTCTGGATCCCTGACCCTACTTTAGACAAAATGGAGCAATATAAAGACATCCGTGGAATTGTCAGGTCAGGGAACCAGATTAGCTGGCTTGCACCCGTTAACGGATGTGTAACCGATTGCACACAAAATGTTGACTAACTAAATTTAATAAATTGGGGGCAGTATTTGAAAAAAAATAAGCTTTTTCCAACGATTGTCAACTGACCATCGTTGGAAATTGATACCAAAATTCCACTTTTCTTAAAAATGACAGCACACCAGGTGCCATGATTTCACAGGATGCCTGAGACTATTATTCATCTAGAGTTAGAGGTATTTCATAATAATTTGGTAGTTTTGTGTTTAGATGTTTGCATCTTAAACATGAATGACCTTTCAAATAAATATGAAATTTGCAAGTTTTGAAGAGGTTAGAGAGATATTCGACAAGAAAGGAGTTTGAATTTTTGTAAAGGTTTACAACAATCAAACCAAATATACATGTACCGTAATTTTCGGAATATCTGCAAATTAAGATTTGAAGTCGGCGTATCAGCCGCACCG